AAATACTGTACTGTGGGCACAGTCCACTTTTACTCCTTTCAGCTTCTGATAATGGTTTTAGAATGAGACAAAATCAGCATCACCTAAGCACAATCATCTCCTACAATTACGCAGTTGTTCCTGCCGGCGAGTAGCCCTTCGACAGCGTGCATCCCGAAACAACTCACAAGTGTTTTCCTAAACACTCCCTCTGATCCAAGGCTCCACCACCACCTGGTGGCCAACCAGTCTCTCCTTGCCCTGCTTGGAGTCGGCACCCTGTCCAGGGTCCTCCAGGGCCGACTCATAAGACCCCTCGCTGTCGGAGTCTGGCAGCAGCTCCAACGGCTCCTGCCGGGCCACAACAGGAACCTAAGTTATTTAGGTTTCTGTGGATCCTTATCAATGCTGAAAGCACTTGTTGTCCAAATAGTTTCTCAATCTACAGTATCGTCAAAGTGCAGCATTGTTCATGAGATTGCTAAAGTGGCATGCTGATTTTGTCTCATTCTAAAACCATTATCAGAAGCTGAAAGGAGTAAAAGTGGACTGTGCCCACAGTACAGTATTTTTTGTAGCTACTTTTATCCAGACTAAAATGGTTACTTGTATTTCTCTTATTATGAGATTAATGTTTATAATAATTGGCACTTTATTCTTTTCTTCATCCCCTCACCAAATCTATTCCTTTTGATTCTGCTATGCCATCTACTGGTTTTTGCTATGCCATCTACTTGAATTTTTTTGCTGGCATACAGCAAACAATACATTGGCACCTCATGTTAGTCCTTTTTTTTTTAGATCAAGCTATGTTTTCCAATCTCTGGATTCTTTTTATTTTTACTATTTCTGTAAAGGGTGTTACAAATACTATATTTCAGATTCTAGGCAAATAACTAAACCATTCAGCTGTTTTGTAAAGTGACTTCACAGAAGTTTTCAATTTTTAACTTGAATGATTGTTTTAGCTATTTCCATTTCAAAACTGTTATTTTGCACAGTGCATAAATCTCACAGAAGAAGATACTTCAGTCCCACAAAGATCTGTGGACATTCACTCAGTGATTCATAGGTATATGTGAATCAAGTATGTACACTATGTCATCAAAATAAATTTTACAATAAAATCTACTGAAAATATACATTTCCTCCAGCAAAATTAGTTCAGTCAGAGTGATAACTAGCGATAGATGGATGGATGGATGGATGGATGGATGGATGGATGGATGGATGGATGGATGGATGGATGAGAGAGAGAGAGAGAGAGAGAGAGAGATGATAGATAGATGATAGATAGATGATAGATGATAGATAGATAGATAGATAGATAGATAGATAGATAGATAGATAGATAGATGATGTACTGACCTGTAAAACACCCTTCTACAATTAGAATATGTGGATTTTTAACTCCCTGAGTTTTCAATTCAAATCCTCACTTACACTGGGCACTTTATATTGGGGAAGGCTACTGTAAGTTATTCAAAGCTGTTGATATACATCAGCGATATTTGGAAATCATAGTAAGCCAAAATTTCATTAGATACTTCTAGTCTACTCGTAAATCAGCATGATGGCTACTTACCAAGTTTTCTTGCTAACCCATACAGTTTATTGTCTGGCTTGTGCAGCATTGGTATGAAGATCATAGCTTATGAATGTTATGCCGAGAAAGGTCAAAGGTATCAGTAGACTCACAGCCCCATATGAAGCTGAGGAGGACATTTTTGGTGACCAATAAGCCAGAATTCTTTAAAATTAAGATGTACTATAATATCCAAGAGAAGACCTCATTTTGTTGCCAACAATCTACTGAATTTATTGCCAAAACTGCAATTTGAGTTAGATATGTTATACAAGGAATTGTAATAGTTAGATTTCAGACTAACAGCAGGTTTAGGGTTAAATTTTCATTAGGTAAGTTTAACTCAGTTATTCAAAGAAAGATGGGATATAAATATAATAAATAATATTGGCAATTATAATTTGTAGCTATTCTCTTAGTTGCTAAGGTACATAATCAGCTTTCATTAATGAAGATATTTCATGCCTGATTTTATATACAAATATTTCAGTATCAAACAATATGCAGATAGTAGTTCAGTGAAAATTAGCTGCATGTGCTTATCCATCATGAAAATAAGGTTTTTCCAAAATTTCATCATATAGTTTCTCCAACCCTGCTTCCCCGCTGTAGAGGCAGGAACATTATTCTAATGGAGTTTTTTTTAATGCTCTGCAATAGTTTTTTGTATTGCTTTTCTATAAATTCCCTTTTGAGAAATAAGAATATGCATTGAAGCTAGGCCATCTATTCTATCACATTCCTTTTCAAATGGATTTTTTTTCCCTTTGCTCTATGCAATGAGACAAAAGAATTTTAAACAGATCCATGATGTTCATATGCTTGTAAGATTCAAGTAGCACAACAGTTTGGAATTCTTGATGTGCCCACAGAAAAAAAATTGTGCCTGCAGCTTTGGCCAGTCATATTTCAGCTGGAAGAAGAAAAGGAGTTATACAGGAAGGACATATTTATGGGAGGCATAGAAAACAGACTTTCATAATACAGTACAGTGTTATTTTTCTGTAACTATGTTGCTGCAAAGTATCCTCTGAATAATGTATAAGATAGTGAAGGTATGGTACATAAATTTCAAGTAATGATGGTACAGAAGCTTTATAAGAGAAATAAATTAAAGCATTCATTCATAAAGTTGCTAACCAAGACAGAAAAGAATTAAGAGGACAATGCATATGTGTATTCAAACATAATTCAGAAAAAGAGTAATTTACAGTATAATCCAAAGAGCTTTCTCCATTCAATATAAGTACAGAGTAACAAATATTAAAATCTGTAACAACTGAAAACATGGAATGAGAAAAATATGACATAGCTGGAATTGGGGAAAGATGTCCAACTTTTCATGATA